GATATGATAATTGTGCTGTCGATGAGGACAGCACATTATGATTTGATCATTTTAGATTGCCATAAATTCAAGACAGGACATTGGTATAGTTATTTTTAAATTAAATATTTTTTATTTGTATTGTGTGGTATATTTATATTATTGTTTTCTTATTGATTTCACTTAAGATTATGCAGTATAATGTTCAATGCCTTGTTTTGTAATGCATGCGGTGGTGACCTTTAATTAAGATAGCATCTGATTATTGCCGACGCTTGTATCTTCTTATCTTGTACTGGTGTATATCTTGTTGGTCGTCCTTAAATAAATAAATTATATGAAACTTACTACTGCAACGCACACTAATCGGAATTGCTGCGTGATCACCTCACAAAAAAACTTGAGCTTATCACGAGGCGAGGCGATTACGTTACAATTTCGATTAATGTGCGTTGCAGTAAGGAGTTTCATCAGTTTCATACAGAGAATACTGAACGGCTCGAGTAGATACAGTGACGATCCCTTTTCGATAGTCTGCTGCGACCATTACCATGCTTTATGACTCAATTACACTTGGTCGTTAGCCCGAATACGAAAAACGTACGTAAACGACAAGTGTAACTGAACAGAGTCGAGTATGCCCGTATTCAGGTAGTTTTAGTTTTTGTTACCCGACACCGTCTTCCAGTCCGAATTCCAGTGTAAATATTGCTTTGGGTGCCCGAATTCGAGTATTGTCATTCGTATTCTCGAACACGGCTGACGACCTAATGTAATTGAGCCATTATATAAGTTCAATCTATTGAAAAAAAAACCAGTACCTATGTGGTAGATTAAGTATCTGTGGCTGTCTTTAAAACCAAAACAGACAGTAACTAACTGAATTCTAATATAAGCCAAACAAAGGCACAATAAGTTAATTATTATGCAAGATACAAAGTCATTTCAAAAACACGGCATAGCTGAAACATTTAATTCCCGTTCCCTTTGTATTGTGTCCAAAACACCTGCGAAAACAACCTGCGTAAGCTGTGAAGAGAGAAATCGCTGTTATTTACATCTCACCTTGCTAATTGTTTCCGACCGACGAAACGTTTAGCCCATACTCATCAATAATGATGTTATTATTATGCACTAAATAAATATATAGGTAGTTCATAAATACACGATAACGGATGTGAAGAGTTTGACATGTTTTGTCTTAAATTTTGTAAGTTTAAGAAATTTATTTAATTTCTTTTAATGTTTGCGATGTTTGCAGCGATATTGCAAAATGAGAAAAGATGAATTGCAAATCTTAGTTGATAACCTAAACCTTGTAAAATACCAGGGAACCTTTCGTGTAGACGCGGATGAATCCCTAAACGGGGATCCCAAGGCTTCGAGCTAAGCAGCTTAGAGGGTATTCGCAGGGTTTTTAGCGTATATTATGTCGTAAAGCGCCCGTAAGGGTTACGAGGTCCTCAGTGGTCAGCCACTGCTGGGGCTCGTAAGGCTTGCGGGAGGCAGGTGTGAGGTTCGTTCGGCGGTATGCCTCTTAAAGGTGCCGTCGTCTATAAATAGTATTTTTTGCCTGCGTATAAAAAAAAGGGAACCTTTCGTGTACGAATTCGACAATATTTGCACTTAGCCATAGAGTAAGGGCGAGGCCAAAACACTGCGTTGCGGCGTCGCACCGTAGAAATCAACATCATACAACGCATCATGGAATTATCCGATGCGCACTGCCGGCCGTTGCGATGAAATTTTTTGCGATGCTTCACGTCGCAATGCAGTGTTGTGGTCTCCCTCTCAGTTTGCATTTCGTTAATACGCTTTTACTATATTCACGGATAAGTTAGAATCTCATCTATCGCATTCTATGGTTTTCATCCGCTCCCACACCAGCGTATAGGTTTTACCGACTTCACGTAAAAGGGCTAATTTCAATTATCTCGTGGTTCAACCCTTGACTTATTGTACAAATGAACAAAAAGGGCTTAGGTAAAATTTCTTCGCGTGAGAAAGCGACGCCGCTCTTCATTACGAACGATAATTTGACATGGCTTGACAGCTGGTGTTACATTGAAATTGATTTGTGTTCGAAGTTGAATTAATTTTGACAGAGTCAATAAGCCACCGCTGTCCTGGAGGTGGTAATAACCATATGCGAGTAGTAATTTCGAGTCCCGATGATGGAGGAGGTGATACTATTCATTTTAAAAGTTGTTAATCATACTAGATGAATTGTTATCTAAGCATGGAAATTAGTTGAGGGCTTTTGTTGTTGCCACCGGTAAGAGATAAAAAGTGGTACAATATGCTGGTTCGAATCCTCTCTGATGCCTGGCGACAGCCTGGAACTTCTTTTCTATTAAAACTAATATTAAGGTTTAAAATAGGGTAATATCCTACGACGCCTATGCAATCAAACAAAAACGGGAACCTTTTTACCTTTCGATTTTATGAGTAGAACAGCTAATTATAGAACTAGCTGGACATTACGTATGATGTGGCACAGTTAGTAGGTAGATGTTTAAAAATACCTTTAAAGCGTCAGTAATAACGAGGCACCCGCCCCGAAAACCTTCAACTTAGTATCGGTGTTGTATTTACTATTGAGGATTAGCCTTAGTACAGGATCAAGTTACTAGTTACTCTTGTGGCTTTGGTCAACCATATTTTAACCTTTTAATAAGTATTCTGAACTTTTGTCTTTATTTTTCGTAGCATGTCATGTTTTAAAAGCTCTGTAGTGTAGCTGTTATTGCTTTAACTTGTTTAAATTTGCTTAGTCCTTGATAATCGCAGTTACTTATTACGATTTAGACACGAAGGGAAAAAGCTTCAAAAGTCAATATATTTATTCGTTAGTCTATGTTCCATCTGCAGAAATTACTCATAGTTTAACACGGCTATCACCCAATTTTTATAGTTTTATCCTTAATCCAATCGACATTGCAACCGCAACTTTTAGTCGGGAAAAATTTTAATTTTCTCTTCTTTTTAACATAGCATACCTACATTCACAATATAAGAGTATATCTCAAACTCTTGCGGTCTTAGCAAAATATATGGAACCTGCTGTTACCTCCTGTTTTTGTCGGTTAAAAAGCAAAAGAACTGAGCAAAGCTATTGGCTCAGATTACCGAGTCGAATCAAATAATTCGTCCGCGCCCCGTAACATTAGAGTTACCATTGTCAATTGTTCGAGATCGGTAAACCTATTGTTTTTGGATTCACTGCAAAAAATGCCTAGCGATAACCCAAGTTACTCAGGTAGGTAGCTACCTAAAGTTAATTTCCTGCTAAAATTCAGACCACTACTATGTTGATCAGATTGGTGATTATTTAGAACATTATAGTAATGTTTTGAATGTAAAAAAAGAAATTACAAATTATGTATTATATGAATAAAATTTATACATACTTTTTTGTTATACATTAAATATAACGCATACTCAATAGAAACAAATCGGTACCTATAAACATTTATCTAAGCGCGTACTGATACAGTGACATACAATACTGTGATTGTGTTAATATATATACTAAACATTTAGCACTTGTCAGCCTCCATGCTACATCAGCTCGCTCAATTAATAATATTCTTTTCGATTTCATCAACGCGACTACGAACATGGACCCGTAGATATAAAATAAGTTCATCACTCAATACCGGCAGAACCAAGAACTAAGCAATAGCAATTATATCGAACAGAACAAAAACGCCGTGCAAGTAGTTACCTACCGACCGACAATGGCCCCGAGATAACGAGACTCGGACTTATTTAAAATTCTTCTAATCGAATATGGCTTTTATAGTTGTATTTAACACGATTATTATTTTTAAGAGGTCTCCTGTGACTTGCACTTTGCCGAGCGATCCCCCGAGGTGGCAAGGTGTCTAGTTGTCGAATAATAGGTAGATGCGTCTGAAGTGATTGATTAATGAAAGACTCGGCGAAAACAGACCAGCTACCTAATTAAATACTCCTGTCGGTTGTTCTGACGTGAGAAGATTATAATAAAATGATGAACTAGGCTTTGTATAGCTGTGGGCTTAAAAGTACTGCCAAACTTCTTATAAATCAATATTAGGCAAGTTACCATTAATATTTTATACTAGAGGCCACCCGAGACTTCGTCCGCGTAAACTTTAGTTTTTGATAATCCAATAGGAATCTAACATTATTCCCGGGATAAAAAGTGAAATAAAAATTCCACATGGACCAGGCAGCAGACGGGACTCGAACCCACACCCTTCGCTATCCGGGCGAATGCGTCGAATTTTCTCTCTCCGTTCTTAGGCTGCAAGGCAGCACTATCTCTTCGCATTGTAAGTAGTACTACTTAGTATAAATAAACACATTTTTTTCCTATTCATCATAAAATCTGCTTATTACGTGTATCAACTTGTATTTAAACTATACTAATAACTATAAGAACTGTACTAATGTATTTTCTAGGGCAGTATTATGCTGATAACCATATTTTCATTTATATTTCAAACTCAATACTAATTTAAAACTCAATTGAATTTACTGAACTAGAAAACTACTTTCAAATTTGGCATTTGACATATTTACAAAAGTAGCACCCGATTGACCCTTTTGAACATTTTTTAAACTAGCTTCCGCCCGCGTCTGTGCCTGCGCCAATCTAGGTAATAAACTAGATGTGTGCCAAATTTTGATCCAAATCCATTATGATTTTTCCGATTTGAGTTACAACTTACTTAAAGTATTAGATTCGTAACAATGCAGAAGGTCAAAATGGAATAAGGAAGCACAGCAATGAAGATTCTGGTTCGAATCCAACCTGATATCAGATTTAATTTTATTTAGAAAGAAATAGTCATTAAAATGCGGGTTTCTTAAGTTTAGAGGGTCGTTTTACTGGAATAAGTCTACTCTTACATAACAATTCACTATGAATAATCGATCAAGTCGATTGATTTAATCGAAACCTCGACATTAACTCTTTCTCTAATGTAGGTATATCCATAGCAATAGTGACTGGCTTAAAAATATTATTTTATCTTTTTGACACGAGTTGTCAATAAAATTATTTGTCGTGCCGTTTTGTGGTATAGCATAGCAATAGCATTTCATAACTTAATATTATGTGATCCATTGTTTAAAAATAGTAAATCATTATTAAAATGGTTTACTATCATACATCAAGAAACGTTAAAATCTTACGAAATATTTTAAATGACTTTGGTGCCTCAAGTGAAGTTTCACCATATGAATACATGAAGATGTATATCGATAAGTGCCCAGAGTCCTCTGAGGATTCGAAGATTTCTTGGATAGCTGAAATGTTTTTAAGTATTCAGAAACACGGTAAATTTTTAAGAGAAATAGCTTCACATATGTCGATTGAACTTGCCGAACATGATCAAGATTATTTTATGATAATCTTACATGCAATCACTTTCCAAATAGAACCCAAAGATATGCAACTACTATATAAATGCCTTTTTAATCTCAGTAAGCCATTACTTTACACGTTCACCAAGTTCTTAAGCAACAATGAAGTTCTAACTTTTATAACACAAATAGCACAGCCAATGTATGATATGAATTACATTACAGAGAAAATAATTAACCCATTATTCATTTGGCAACCATACATCAGTGAAATGGCTCATAGTTATGCAGAGTATGTGTGGAAACTAGAAAGTAGAAAAATTAAACCTCCTACCATACCTATTCAACCTAACGTCCTAAACAAAAGAACTAAAGAGCATGCAGCACATTCGACTGATGCCACTGTTCCAATAACACCTCCCAATTCCATACAAGTGAAAAAGAAAATGCTTACAAAAAGTGCTATTGATAATAAGCTTAAGAATATACACGAAAAAAACAAGCAAAGAGCCGCTCATTTTCTAAATGATATAAAAAATAAAAATTTACATTATGCTCAACCCAAATCCGAAAAATATTACAAAACAATCAGCAACATAAAAGACGAAGCAGAAAATGAATTAACAAAACCATTGCTGAAAAGTAAATATCCGTCCACTGTAAATTCGAAGCTTCCACCGGTTAAAGACACTGTAGCTAATTTAAAAAGAACAAATAAACGAATACAAATCGCCCAAGAGGAAGAAGTCGAGTGGTTAGAAACTTTACTATCGACATGTAGAAATACCGCCAAAATTTCTGAAATGGAAGAATTTGACCGACAAGAACGAGAAAGAGAGCGGTTGCTAGATATAGAAAGAAAACACCTTATGGGACTTATATCGTATGAAGAAGCTGTTATTTCAAAAAAGAAACTTCTTGATGAGAAAAAAAAGAAGTATGAAAAATTCTTGAAAGAAAAAGAGATCTGGAATCAAGAAATTGAAAAATGGCGTAAATCAGAAATGGAGAAAAACCGCAAACAGATAGAAAAGTTGTCTCTCATAGAACTTAATCTAATACAAGCTAAAAATGGAATCGCCACTAAAAAAAAGGAGATAGCAAAAAACGTGAGAAAGGATTCAGAAATGATCATTGCCGATGCCATGAAAGCAAAACAAGATGAACTAGATCATCGAGTTAACATGATAAAGGAAATCAAAATTCTTGCTTCCATTGCAAAAGCAGCAAAAGTTCCGAAAATAATAGATCTCACTGAAACTTCTGGCTTAGGACTTTTATGTGAAATGTCTTTTGCTGAATTGCAAGAGAGATTAAGTGCTTTGAAAATTGGATTGAACGAGGAATTAGAAAATAAGAAAAAGCTTATAAAAGAAGACCACATAGCTATGAAACAGGAAATACAAGAGACAAAATTATCTATAAATAAATATATGACTGAACGTGCTGCAATGCGAAAGAATATACAAAAGTCTAAAATAACTTTAGAAAATATTTCAAATAAAGAAATAAACGATTTGAAAAGAACTTTAGAAGAGAAAAGACGATTGAGAGCACAATTTACCAAATAAAACATAATTTATTTGTTTTTTGATTTAGTCATTGTTGTTGTTGTGATTTTTTATTGATGAAAGTTTTATTATTGTTGTTAGTTAGTGAAATAAATAATTATTCGATAATGCGTGTTTGTTATTATTTTGTTATAACTACTATTATTATAAGCTGACTTTATATAAATATGATAAAAACTTAAGCGCATAGTTATTTAGGATTGATAAACAACAAAAACACAATAATGAACCTTGAGAATAACACGAAATAATAACTAAATCGGTGAATTTATTATTTGTTACTGGATAAACAAATTTTATTACTTAGTTACTTTTACGTAAATAACAGAAGTATCCCTACAGATTTCGTAAGATGCTCTTTACCACTAAAATCAAAATATTCAATAGATCTAAGTAAGAGACGACCGAGCCGTCTTTTGAATCCAAATTAAATAGGAGTCGATGTGTATGGTTAGTGGAATTTTTCATCTTTGAATTTGAAACAAACCAATTTCTTATTTAAAGTTTATAGTGTATTGTATAGTATATTTAGTTATATGTCTTCTTTCAGTGATTATGGATGAGTTATATCAAAATCGATTAAGAACTTTCACGGCAATGTGTAAAAAGCAGAGCTGGGCCTGTTAAAATAAGATAAAAGGTAATCAATTGACTTTATTAGAAATCTTACCAATTTGTAAAGCTGCCGGCGGTCTGATAGTTACAATTACCTTTGCTTTTAGAATTTCTCTTCGAATTCTATTATATCATCATAATTTATTTCATTCATTACAGTATTTAAAATCTATTATTTTGAAGAAATAATGCCCTTCGGACTCTTATTTACCCTGAGGGCCTCCTCGGGGAACTTACTTTTGCTTTTAGAATTTCTCTACGAATTCTATTGTATCATCATAATTTATTTCATTCATTACAGTATTTAAAATCTATTATTTTGAAGAAATAATGCCCTTCGGACTCTTATCTACCCTGAGGGCCTCCTCGGGGAAATATCAGAATTTCTAATAATACTGATGTCTCCTCTAGGTTGGGGAAATCCTATATTTTCAAAGTTTAACATTTTAACATTATTGTGCTCAATTAAAATTATAGCCCAAAATTATATAAATATTTATTTATTTTCAAGTGACCAGTATCTTTACATATAATAAAATGGTAGGAAAGTCAAAACTGTACATTGAATATTTTTATAAAAGAATACTTAATTGTGACCTACAATCGATATTGAAGCCAAAAATATAGTTATTAGAATTTTTGTCTGTTTGTCTGTCCGGGATAAACTCAAAAAGTACTGCATGGATTTACTTCAAATTTGGCACGAATATTATTAAGAAGTGTGGTCAACATATAGGTTACATATTATCAAGCTATCACCTACGGGGAACGAGCAGTGAACCTTTATTTCTAAATAACTCCACGCGGCCGCTAGTGTAATAAATAAATATGTAATATTCATTTTGTTTCAAGTGACTAAACGCGACAGTGCTGTGACACATATCTCAATATAATATTTTAAAAGTAGGCTCTGATGTTTTTCCATCAACCCAGGGGAAATATAAGTACTATATTAATCCTGATTCCTAATGTCTCGCCGAAGGTGCCATCAGGGAAGACGAAACCGAAGGGAAATAATGGTATCCAATAGTCGTGTATAGTAATGCCATGGGCGAACAATAAAATTTGTAGGATTAATTAATAGTTATAGCTGAAGCAATAATCGAGTTAATAAAGATATAGCTCTGCACAAATTAGCATTTAAGCTTAGAAATGGATATGTCATGCAATAAATATTAATGCACAGAGTTATTTGAATGTAGAACTGTACTGTAACTGTAAGGTTAATTTACAGTTACAAACAATTTTATTCAATAGTGTGTGATGTCACTACACTAACAATAGCTTATGTAAGATGTGTTTACATTATATTTATATTTCTTGGTAAAAATGTTTTACCGACATTGTTTGGACACTTATTTAAAAAAATATGACATGTACCAATTAATAATTAAACTAGCCTAAATGATATTGAAACCATTTATAAAAGTTCTAAAGTCTATGTCCTACATGAGACTATTAGAAGCAGAGACTAATGGTATTCCCCAGGCGAGGCTGGATCGATGCGCATGTACGAATTGGTTATAACCAAGTTGTAACGCATTAAGAGATAGAGGCATCTATAGATAGGCACGAATTCTTACTATGTATGGATGATAAGTTACTTGATAAACTTGATCATTGAAATGCACAGTAAAGTGTACATTTCACTTCTAAGTTCCCTATTCCCATAATACCTTATGTATAAAAGAAGATGTATATTAATGGAAAACATTGACTGTCACAAAGTTTTGTTGTTACAAATTAGTTTAAAATGACGCCCGTTAATTTACATACTAACAAGCAAAATTGTCAAATATAGAAATGGTAATAAAAATACATCAAAACGATACCGAATACCAATAACGTCAATATTTTATGGCGCATAAACTTATATGTTGTTGAAACATCGTCAAGCAATAATCCCAGTTTATAATCCAATAACATGCCGGAATCGTTGTAATGGTACGAGTACAAATCAGGTGACAATATGATATGGAAAAATGCTAGTCGATATAATTTGGATTAAAGCCATAAATAAGACGGGGTCGCCGGTTCATTTGTATCGGCGTATAATTTAAATTCTTTAACGCCAATGTTCAAGATTACGCGGCGAGATAGAGGCGGGGCGCCCGTGTCGCCGCGACAACCACCAAATAAATTTATATTTCCGACGGACACCGAACGGACTCTTCTCTTTGTAGATAATTCGGTAACGTTGAACGACTCTATTAACAGCTTCCCTTTTTGGGATAAATGTCTCTTTTGGACGGTGTTCCCGATATCTATAGTATGGACTTCGTTTTTCCTAGTTACTTTAATTATTATTTTTGTAGCAGTGTTCATAATACTTACTAAACTAAATTAAAAAAAAACTCTTGTGTTTTACTAATTATCAAGTATACAATAGAGATTTTTTAATATTTTCATTATTAAATAATCCAATTGTGTATAACACTCACAAAAGTGTTAAAAACAGCCATCGATTAAATATTTATAGTATCTGGCCTGGGTCGTATCCATTTCTGATTGAAACTTCAAGTAACTCAACGTTCAGATACTATAACCCATAAAACATACGTTTCGTGATGTCATCATATTAGCAGGTATCTTGATTTGAATTTGGTTTGAAACTTGATAAAGCTCGAAAATGTGTAATAGTCTTGTTTAGTTGGTAGCAACTCTTAAGAAACGTTTAGAAAAATAATGTCATGTAACTACCGATTTAAATGTTATAAGTAAAAAAAAAACAATATGTTGAACTACTTAAAACAACAAAAAAAACATTCACAAACATTTTACATCCTACGGATTTAAAGAGTTATAAAAAAAATATTTCTTATTATTTCATTCGAAAAGGGTGACTATAAATACGGGATACTGTTACGAGATTAAGCTGATAACAGTGAAACGTCAATAACCACCTAATTGGGAGAGAACACTTCACTGCAATCACCTAAGCGTCGACAGTGAGAAACAAATAAATATTGGAACCGGCCACGAGATAATTCCCCCGATAACTTAATGTGCTTACATTTGGAATCTGCTCATGATTTTATGAGAAACCACGATACTATATCTGTGTCTCGTATTATGAGTTAATAAGACACATGTTTGTATTTCATTTTCCGCTTTTTCGAATCTTAATTTCTTTATCTACTGGCTGTGTACTCCTCTTAAGTAATTAAGTCAGACTTGTGAAATGACCGTCCAATTACTAAAATAATTTCGAGTATATTCCGCATGAAAATTTTAAATTTCTTCAAATATTTTTTACATCCACTTGTTTATAAAATGTTCCTTCCAATCAGTTTGTGCAGTAAATAAAATGAGTTTATAAAAAAAAATAAAGACATAAATGGGTACGTAAAAATACACTAAGAGAATTGCCCGATAAATGCTCCCGCAGTTGGTTTTGGAAGGCTAATTTTGAATGTCAACCAAAAAAATCCGATACAGTCGTTACGAACGAACATTATTTTATTGGCCTCCGTTATAAGCTTGTTCAAAGTGGGCATATTAAAGAATTTATGTTATGATTGCTCAGTCAATTTGCATATGAATAATATTCGAATTTTATGTGCGAATGATGTCATATCCTTTGGTGTTTCACAAAGAAATGTGTGAAAAGTTATCGAGGATAACAACGTTGTTACTTAATTTTGTTTTGTTACTGTATTTTTTCTCGGTTTACTTATATTTTATGTAGGTAAGTATTTTGGGTTGCGATAATTTTTTTAAGCGTACTTTCATAATTTCTTAAAACATTGAAAGTTTTTTATTACAGAGTTTACTTTTCCTAAAATTATTTTATGATTACAGAAATCAAAAGAGTAAAAACGAGAAGGGTAAAAACCACAAAGCTCGGCATTTTTTAATATACCAGGTTTGCGGAGCAGTATCTGGCCCCATATTAGTATTTTTCCGGTTGAAGTATAGTCCAGATAGGGCGCGCTGCGTTCACACCGTAATCTGTATCGCTTCTCCGTGACAGGAGCGAAGCACCCAGAACGCGTTATATCAAAACACACTTCTCAATTTATGCTATAAATCTTCGATTCCACTAAAACTATGGTTGGATATTCCAACGGTTTAATAAGTTAGGTAGGTATATAATTTCAAAATGAGATTATAAATTTTGTATGTAAACAATTTCAACATTTCTGATGCACGTTCCATTATTTTTTAACAAAAAATAAAACCGACTTCAAGAACGAAAATAAAACTAAAAAGTTGGAAATAATATATGGTCATGATTTGGAAGTCAGGCGGGGTCAAAATTAAGTAGTTATTTGCCGATTAGAAATGAAAATCTACGAGTATTCCATGTTTCGACCTTGTCCCCGCCTGACTTCTAAATCATGAAGCATATATTATTTCTTACTTTTTAGTTTCATTTACGATTTTGGAGTCGGTTTTTTTTTTTTGTTAAACAATATTTTTTAATTCATTAATTTTATTGAAATTTTCATCGTCCAAATAAACAACAAACAAAAATGCCCTTAAAAAACTAC